AGGACGTCCTTCTTCACCCAAAGAGTGATTAACACTTGGAATTCACTGCCACAGGAAGTGGTGGGTGCTACAAGCATGGATGGCTTCAAAAGGGAATTAGATAAGCATATGGAGCAGAGGTCCATCAGTGGCTATTAGCCACAAGGTATAGCTAGGGGCTCTGGGGCAAGTGATGCTCTGTCTTCTTGGTGCTTGGGGGGGGGTCAACAGTGGGAGGGCTTCTAATGTCCTGGCCCCACTGCTGGACCTCCTGATGGCACTGGTATTTCTGGCCACTGTGTGATACAGAGTGTTGGACTGGATGGGCCTTTGGCCTGATCCAACATTGGCGTCTCTTATGTTCTTATGTTCTTAACTAAGCAACATTAAACAGCTTAATATGCATGACTTCTACAGGCCAAATATTCAAGCTTGTGTTGGGGGGAAGATTGGCTTGACTTTGGCACATTATTTCAATGCCTTGTTTTAAGAAGAACAACATATCCATAGAGTGCTATAGATTCCAGGGGAGTGGGGGGGGGGCATACACAGCAGATTGTGGACACATTTGGGAATCTGAGACAGGGTGGTGGGCGCAGCCACAAAATGGCTGCCATAGGAGGGGGAGCCAGCCACAAAATGGCTGCCACAGCTTGTTCTGTGGTGGCAACTGCTGCAAAAGCAACAATTAAAAATAACTGCACAGCTAATGAACTCTCCAGGGGCCAATATGAAGCCTTGTATTACCGGGCCGGGGCAGGGCTCTTTTTGTAGCAGGTACTCATTTGCATATTAAGTGTCACACCCCTAATGTAGCCAATCCTCCAACAGCTTACAGTACCTCCTGTAAGAAGAACTCTGTAAGCTCTTGGAGGATTGGCTACATTAGGGGTGGGCCCCATCCACTTTCTAAATTTTTTTGAAGGGCACCAGGAAAGGTATTGGCGGGAGCCATGGCACCCTCGGGCACCACGTTGGGAACCCCAGTGGTAGAGGGCGCAGAAGGCAGCTCTCTGAGACTCTCAGCTTCCATTTAAGAAAACCAAGTTGCTAGTCCTTATGGTTGTAAATATATGCTGAAAAGCATAAAAGGCATAGAGATAGCTGTGCAGGACTTACAAGTGCTTAGGGATGGAGGCTCAGTGCCTTTGCCCCACCTAAGACCAAGAAAGCTAAAATAAATTAGGCATATGTGCAGTGTTCCCTCTAAGCTGAGTTAGTGTGAGCTAGCACACAGTTTTTTAGCCTCCAGCTCACACATTTATGTCTTCGCTCAGGAAGGAGGGCCCCAGAGCAAGCTAATTTATGCAGTAGCCAAATTGCTCACTCACAACTTTAATGCCAGTAGCTCACAGAGCCCCCTCATGGATCACTGCCTTGTCGTGGCGAGGGGGTTTGCGTGGTTCGATGAGGCTGTGGGCTATGCTGTGGAGGGCCACCCAAGATGGACAGGCCGCAGCAGAGAACTCAGATCAAGCGTGATCCCCTGGAGAAGGAAATGGCAACCCACTCCAGTATTTTTGCCAAGAAAACCCCATGGACAGTATCAAAAGGCTGCCACCAAATGAGAAGGGAGCACTCACTGGAGAAGACCCTGATGCTGGGAAAGATTGAAGGTCAAAGAAGACGGGGACGGCAAAGGATGAGATGGTTAGACAGTGTCATCAATGCAACGAACATGAAACTGAGCAAACTTCAGAGGACGGCGGAAGACAGGAAGGCCTGGCGGGATCTTGTCCATGGGGTCGCGAAGAGTCGGACTCAACTGTGTGACTGAACAACAACAGCAAGCTCACAGAGTAGAATTTTTGCTCACAAGACTCCACAGCTTAGAGTGAGCATTGCATTTGTGTGTCAATCTGCGTGATTTATACAAAGCCCAGTACAAAATTATATGCAGCCCTGTGCATGAAGTTGGGTATTCATCCACTAGCTCCAGAAGATGGCAGACTGAGGACACAGAACTTCCACAGAGGTGTACGTAAGAAGTCCCGCTGGGCAAAATGAGAGAAAACAGATACAGGGTTGCTTGGAAAGAGGCAAACACACACAGGTGAAGAAAA